TTCATTTTCCTGACAGCAGGAAATGCCTCTGCTCCAAGGGGAGCTTTGGAATGATGGATCCCTGTCCTGGGAGTGTCCAGGGAGCGATTTGGGAACAGTGCAGGTGACAGTGAGGGACCAGGGCCATTCTGGGTAATTTTGGAACGTGGAAAGTGTCCCTGCCCTGCACAAGGTGGATTTTAGAGGTCACTTCCAACCCAAACCATCCTGGGATTCCACAATAAGGGCAGAGCCATTATTTCCCCATGTGACCTAAACTTTATCCCCTTTTTCCTCCTCACCACCCTTTTTTCCCTCCCCTTACATCTTTTCTTTAAATGTTCCCGTAGTGATGAGAGAAAATCCCCATTTCTCACCACGGCTTCCTTCAGATCCCTGATCCTGGAATTGTGGTACGAGCCCGGGCACTCCCTCTGCTGCACCTCCTCCAATTTTTCCATCTCATTTGCAGCCTGGATTGGAAAAGTGACAGAAGGAAATGATAAACCTTCAGGAAAGGAGATTTCTGACTGCACCCCAGTTAGAGATGGAGACAAAACTGTTCCACTGGAATTCACCTTTTCCTCACAAAACCCGGGATGCTGGAATGAGGAGGAACCAGACATGAAATATTGATTGGGAAAGAGGGGGAAAAACCATCACCTTCCACACGTGCTTTGTCATTTTATTGCTGAGCATCCACCACGTGCAAATTGCCAACGTTTGAAGGGAAGTGGAGGAATTGTCCTGAAATAAATTGTCATAAATTGTCCTAAAATAACCCAGCAGAATGTTGGAATTTAGGGAGAGGATGAAATCAGATTGAACCTGAATCTCAGAGCTCCACCTCTCTCCCTTGGAGCTGGCTGCCCAAAATTATTCCCCAGTGCTTCAAAGTTCAAAGAGATTTTATACACACTGATTATTAAAATATATCTGGTTTTTTTTTTTTTTCTCCACACAGTAGTTTCACTTCTGCCAGGCTGACAAATGTCACCTCACCCTTTATTTTCCAAATCCTGCTTCAAACCAGATGTTTATGCCCAAATCTGGGGCTGTTTGTGGGGCAGACACAGGGACAGGTGTAGAGGGGAAGCCTTTGGCACATTTTTGCATTTTTTGCAGGCCAGTGTTGTTTCCTTCAGGGAGCTCCTGGCTCTGATTCTAACAGGTGTCCTCACATCACTTTATAACGGTTTAAAAAATGAAATCAACATTTCAAATGAAATTAAAATTTAAAAATTGAATTAAGAGATGATATTTCGTGTTTGGAATCAGATGTTTTATTAATTCTTATCTAAATTACAGTGAGTTCTTCAGCACTTCAAGCCAACAAACTAAAAATGGAGATGTATCTCTCTCTCTCTCTATAAGATCTTTTAAGGCCAAACTGTCCAATTAAGAAATTACACCTAAATTATTTTTATTTTTAATTCAATAACCACACACCCATGACCCACAATGCAGAATTACAAAAATACCAACTAAACCCATGAAGAAGAAGGAAGAAACCTCCACCCTAAAACCTCTATCTTGCCTTCTACACATCACTGCATTCTAAAATTCCAAATTTTGCACCAAATTCTAAATTCTACACATTTCTATTCAAACTCCACACCAGTGATCCCAGTTCTACCCCTCAGTTTTGGAAACCTCCACAGCCTCAGGTCAAAAGCAGTGGGGGTTTTTTGTTTTTTGGGTTTTTTTTTTTGTGTTTTTTTTGGTTGGTTGGGGGTTTTTTGGTTTTGTTTTTTTTTTTTTGGTTTGTTTTTTGGGGGGTTTTGGGGTTGTTTTTTTTTGTTTTCCCTGGGGTCAGTGCCTATCAGCACAGAAAACCCAAAATTCCAGAATTTCAAGAGTTTCCCAGCCCAGCACCCACCTCCTGGAAAGGTCCCAGCAGGTCCTGGGTGCTCCTCTTGCCCCCTGGCTGGAGGCCATAGGACCAGTGCTGGGCCAGGCACAGCCCCGTGGCCAGCACACACAGCAGGACAGTGGCCACCATCCTCCTGGACTTCTCCATCCTGCCAGAGACAAAAAAAACACAAAAAAAAAAGCAAAAAAAACCCCAGAAAAACAACACCTGTCTGCTCAGAAAGGCTCCATGTGGAGCTTGGAGAGGAGGGATGGGAATGCTGGAATTGATGGAATTTGTGAGTCACAGAAATGTGGGATATGCTGGGCTGGGAGGGATTCACAGGGATCATGGAATTCCAGCTCCCTGCACAGACACCCCAAAAATCCCACCCTGTGCTGCTCCAGTTCTGGTCTGCACCTCCTGGGTGGGATTTGCAGCCTCTCCAAGTGTGGATTAGCTCACTTGAAAGACATTGGACATCTGAAAAATTTGGATCAGCTCTAAATTAGGATTTCTGAGCTCCAGGCATGTGTGGACCTCAAAGGTTGCATTCCCTGGTGGTGTCTGGCAGATGTGTTCAGCTCATTCCTGCTCTGATGTCCCTGCTCCTTAAAAACTGCCCTTTGCAATCTCTTCTAATCCAATTTTTTTTTTTAATAGAAGCATCTGTAAGCACAGATAAATAAAAAGGGAGTGTGAGATGTTGTCCCAGCCCATTACCTGCTGCCTGAGAGAGGTTGTGGAGTTCCAGCTCTTCTCCTCTGGAAAATATTTATAAATGTGCTCTCAGCTCACTTTTTATACCCAGTGCCACCCCTTCCCCAGCAGGAGATTTTTTTCCCCATTCTCCCTCCCAGGCTGCAATTTTGGTGTTGCTGTTACAGTGACTGTCATGCAGCACAAGTAAAGCCTTTAATTGGAACACCCCAGTGCAGCAATTAAATTCAGCTGTTTTCTCTAAGAGCCATAAAAGTAACAGCCTGGCTTTTAAAAGGTTGTAAATCCCACACTGGGATCCTGCTGGGAAATGCAGGAGCTTTTCTGTCGGTGAGTTCTGCTTCCTTTAGTAAAAGTTCTTGAGTTTGAGTTTGTTGAGGGTGTGAAATGGGTGAGGAATTGAGCTCAGTATTTAAGAAACCTGGAATGTTTTGGGTTGGGAAAGAAATTCATTTATTTCCACCCCTGCCACGGGCAGGGACACTTTCCCCTCTCCCAGGGTGCTCCAAGCCCTGCCCAGCCTGGCCTTGGACACCTCCAGGGATGGAGAATCCACGATCCAGGCAGCACCTCGTGCCCATCTTCATTTTTATCAGGCATAAAGGAAACCCTTCTGTGCTCTAACAGGAGCCTGTGGTTGCACAAGTGCTCAGAGCACCTTGAAATCCTCCTTGATTTTAAATTTCAGGTGCCTTGGTGTTCTTTGCTCTATAAAATTCCAGCTGGGATTAAACTGGACGAGTCCATGGTTGTAAATGTACTTTGTTGGCATGAGGGAGTCCCTGGTGTGAATAGGATCCCAAAAAATCCTTTTTAGAAGGGCCTGGAGTGGCAGGAACAAGGGGGAATGGGTTTAAACTGGCAAGAGAGGAGATTTAGGTTGGGAATCTATAATTTGGGTTTATATTAGGATGAATTCCTTCCCTGGGAGGATGAGGAGAGTCTGGGATGGAATTCCCAGAGCTGTGGCTGCCCCTGGATCCCTGGGAGCAGCCAGGGACAGTGGGAAGTGTTGGGGATGGAATTGATGGAAATGATCCTTAAGGCCTCTTCCAACCCAAACCATTCCATGATTCCCTGGTTTTCAATCTTTAGTTTGTGCACTGCAGTTTTATAAAGATTTATTTGCAATTCAGGAATTTTGACTGCAGAAATTGTATTTTCCCTCACCTGGCAGCTCCTCTGCCTTGCCTCTATGCCAGCTGAATGTTTCATGTTTTCTGTTCTCCAAAAATCCTCTGCTCCAGCTCCCCTGACCTCTTGGAGCTTTCATGGATTAAAGTGATTTAATAAGTAAATAATTCAGGGAGGATTTGGTGACTCTGAGCAGAGTCACCCTTCCTGCCCCAGTGCTCCTCCCACTCCCTGATCAAGCTGTGAGCAAAGTCGGGCTCAGGGGGAGAAATGTTCCTGCTCCTCTGGATTCTGCACGTGGATTCAGCCAGGGATTCTCCTGTTTGGAGCCTCCTTCCTGCCCTGATGAGCCTTGCAAAAATGAGAGTTGTTTAAAGGAAAAAGCAGATTTGGTTTGGACATTTAAAAAGAGCTTTGCCCAATAATTGCTCCTCATTAACCACCACTTACCCTGGGCCTGATGAATCTGCTCTCAACAGCTTTGAACAACTTTTATCTCCACAGGTTTCTGGTGCATTCACAGGAATTGGACTTTTATAATCCTTGGGTCTCTTCCAGCCCAGGATATTCCACGATTCTCTGACTATTCTGCCCCCAACTATTTTACAAAGAAAATAGGAAGGCTTGGGGCAAAAAGGCTGAGAAGTCTTGGAAAGGAATGACAAACCAAAAAACAATTCCATGCAAATTCTCCCAATTCCTGGATGAGAACCCCCACAGCACAGTTGTTTTTCCAGCAGGTATTTGATGCTTAAAACCAAAAAATCCTTGTTCATCTCACACAAGGCAGGTAAGATTTGGGGGTTTTTATTCAAATGAAGACAACAAAGCCACTTTTCTCTTTCACACTTTTTATTAATGCAACTTAAATAAGCTGGAACCTGCAAATTCTGCACAGGGCTCTTGACACAGCTCTGTCCTGACAAAAGAGGTACCTAAAATCCAGCTGTGAATGATGGTGCCACATGCTGTGATTATTCCATAGTGCTTCAGTGAAAGTTCAAAGAGATTTTATACACAGTGATTATGAAAATAGAGATATATATATATTTTTTTTTTCCATACAATAGTTTTACTTCTGCCAGCTACAAAATATGATAAAGAAAAATAATTCATTTGTTTCTCTAGCCCTAGGAATCTTCTACTGCAACAGACACAACATTCCCACTGAAAGCCATGAGGTGGGAGAAAAGGACTCCAAAGTCACACTGGAATATTTCCCTGGAATTTACAGGTTCTTTCTCCAAGGACAGTGGATATAGTGTTGTCCTAGAGCCTGATGCAGAGGGATCTGCAGGAAATAATCCCAATTCTGACCCTCGTGGCTCTGGGATTTTGAGCCTTGCAAGTTCACGGTGCTCACCTGAGTCAAACCAACTTGAAAAAGAGGGAGAATCCTGCAATTCCCCCCCCAAAAAAAACATCAGCACTGATCCTCCCAGACTGGTGGCAAAGCAGCATTTTTGTAACAACAACTGAGACAACAAGATGACAGAAATTGCACTGCAAGGGAGAGACAAAAACCCCTGAAGAACTGTGGGACTCCAGCTGGGATCCACTGGTTCTTATTCCTCCTTTCTATTTCTACAGTAACAGCTTGCTTTCCTTAAATTCAAGGTTAGTTTTAACTTTGGGGTGATTTAAGCATCTGAGGTAAGTTCTTGATGCACCTTTCTTCTTGTTTTTTTTTTTTATTTTTATTTTTTTTGGTATAGTTTCTTCATGTGCTTTTTGATTGTGTGTAAAATAAAGGTTGGTGTGAGCTGAGAACTCTGTGGATCCTACAGGGAAGCAGCTCCTGATCCACATCCAGGGGTGCTGAGGCCTCTGCCCTGCACAGTTCCCCCACACAGGCAGCTCCAGCTGCTCTCAGCACAGGCCCAGCAGGTGTGGGAGGGCATGGAGGGCACCTGGCCCCAGGTAAGATCCAGCCACCTCCAAAGTGCCCAAAGAGAACAGGGAGATCCAGCTGGGAAAAGGATGACAGCCAGGGAGCTCTCAGGGAGTCCTTGCATAGTACATGGAGGGGGAACAGGGAAATATTCACCTGTTGAGGTCAGGAGGGGAGGGTGGAGCTCGAGCTGGGGCCCCTCTGCCTCTCTCTGCTTTGGTGACAGCTCTGCACTTTCCTCTCTGCATTGAATTCACCACCGAGGGTGAAAACTCTGCAGGAACTCCAGCCTGGAGTGGTCAGGACATGTGAGAGCAGGATTTGTCTCAGCAGCTGTGATTGACAGTGCACCTCCACGCTCATTTGGAGAGGATTAATTAAATACATCCAATTTCTGAGAAGGGATGTTCCCATCAGCTTCCACCCCAGCAGAGACCTGAGCACCCCCTGGGGACACTGAGCCACCCCTGGCATGGACACAGACTGGAAATAAACACCTGTAAACCTCAACTTGGTTGCTACTGTACAGGAGTAACGTTTTCTATTCATATTGCAGCTACAGATTTAATAAATAGAATTGCATATATTGTGCTTGATAAATTAAAATGCATTCCAAAGTGAGGCAATGCTAAATAATGAAACCATTGAACCCTTTCCCCCCCCATACCTGCCACACTGTCTGGTTTCAGCACCAGCCCAATTCCTCACTCTGCTCACAGAGGTACAAACTCTCTGTTGGTACCTCGGAAAACAAAAATTCCCTCCCCAAAAAGTGATCAAAAAGAGTTTACCTAGGCACTACTGCAAATGGAAGGTGGCTAATAACCATGACTTGAACTCAGCAAGGGGAGGAGGTGAAGAAAGTCACGATGAATGTTTGGATTCCTTCCTCTTCAGCGTGTTCTGGCCCCTATCTGACACTCTGGGACATGTGCAGGGGTGTCAGCATCTCCTCAAAGATTGCTCCTTTCACGTTAGAGCCTCTCAAATTTGCTTCTTGTAGGTCACAGCCTGACAGATCACAATTCTGAAGGGAGAAATGAAAATTAATGTTAATTGGATAGAGACAGAACCCTGTTCAAAAGTTTAACCCCACTTCCCTTAACTCCATTCAACTCTGCAGCTGGAGAAAAGCCAGCAATCCCCCAAATTACCATCTTTTTGTAAATATACAGGTATTTATAGATATATGGAATAGGAAATGAGTGCTAACTCACCTCCAGGTCAGTCCCTGCCAGCGTGGCTCCTCTGAGGTTGCAGTTTTTTAGTTTGGCATTTTTCAGCGTGGCCACTCGCAGGTTAATCCCGGTCATCTGACTGCCCTCCATGTCCACACCCTTCAGGTTGGCACCTGCAACACACCCACAGGGAGGGGGATCAGCCAGAAATCCTGCAGCTCCAAGAGAAAAATCAGCCAGAAATCCTGCAGCTCCTGGAGAGAAATCAGCCAGAAATCCTGCAGCTCCTGGAGAGAATCAGCCAGAAATCCTGCAGCTCCTGGAGAGGAATCAGCCAGAAATCCTGCAGCTCCAGGAGAGGAATCAGCCAGAAATCCTGCAGCTCCTGGAGAGAATCAGCCAGAAATCCTGCAGCTCCTGG